AAAAAAAAAAAAATAGATCTAGAAGATTTTAGGCTCCAAAATAACCTTATGAAACTCTAACCCAATCAAAAATAAATTTGAATAGTTTTGGCACATGAACCCAACCCATAAAATTTGAACAGTTTGATTTTTTTATTATACTTAAAAATTAAAAAATAGTAGAACATAATTGTTTGAAATTAAAAGAAAGTTTTTAAAATTAAAATTGATAAAATCTTCCTTAAGATTAATTATCATTAAAAAGATTAGGTGGATGTGACACTATCAATATAAAATGATATAGTAGTGAAACTTATACACAAAAAATAGTAGTATTTTTAATCTTTAAAAAAAGAATAAATTTTAAATAAAAATTTATTAATATTAAAAATAAAAAACCATTTTTAATTATCACTTTAAATCTCAAATAATCTTGGGCCACTCTAATCACATGCTTATATTATCTTTTTGTTGGGTTGCTTGTTAGTTAGTTTATAAAATAGATTGACCAATGAGCTTTTGGTCCAATGATACTCTTTATCTTGTGAAAATTTTGTCTTTTTGAAGTCATGATTCAACTCCCTCCCCCAAGAAAAAAAAAAAGGTTATAAAAGAGAGGGAGGAGAGTAACTTAAAAGGGACAGGGAGAGAGAGGCATGAGAAGGAAGCGGTAAAATGAAGATTAAAAGAGTAAATTAGACATATATAAGTCCAATTTTTTCACTTTTCTCTGGGTTTCGCCCCGAATTTGGAGTGATTAAAATTAGGGTGCTGAGTGGATCTTTTCACTCCCTTTTCTATTCCTTCAATTTTTCCTCTACGGCCAAAGAAAGAAAAATGTATATTTATTTCCTTTTTTCATCCCTCTATCTTTCCCTCATACCAAGCAAGCTATGAGTGCACGCGGACTAGTTATGAACACCCATAGAACCTCTAAAAACTGATTTCTAAAACTACGATTTTGTTGTCGAATGAAGTGAAGTAGAGAAAAATACCTTGCCAACAAGGAGTTCGTTGGTGTGGGGACCATATATATCGGAGGTGTCGAGGAAGGTGACGCCGGTGTTGATGGCGTGGTGGATGAGTTTGATCATTTCCTCTTCTGGTCTGGGAGAACCATGGTTAAAGGTCATTCCCATGCAGCCCAGTCCCTGTTTTGATACCTCAAAACCTTGTGAACCCAGTTTTATTCTAGGCACTGTGATTGCCATTTCCTTTCTTCGTTCAAGCTTCTTCAACTCTGTGTGTGTGTGCTGAGAATCTTGAGATAAGGCAAGAGTGGATTGATTCGCATTTGGAATGGTGAAGTGGTCTTTATAGAGGAACACAGCTTTTAATTTTATATTTGTTAATTTCTCTACTTTGTTTGACTTTTTACTTCCCACAGCCGTTCCCTATAAGCAAGCAATAAGCTAAAATACTCTTGAGCAATGTTCCCCACCGAAAAAGTATATTTAAAAAGTGCACTTCATAATCACGAGTATTAATTTTAAGTTGGTATTTTAAATTCAAATAATGTTTTCAAATCATTAAAAACGTAACTCTCAATATTTATTGAGACTCATCATTTCTTTAATAATAGTGATTTATTAAATCAAAATTTTAAGTTAAATTTTTAAATAAAATGTAACTTGTGTCACGTTTCCTTTTCCCAAAAAATGCCATTTTTTTCTCACCAAACCAAAAAAAAGAAAAATTAAAAATTAAAAATATTGGATAATTGCATTTTATACGGTCAAATATTTTTGAAAATTTCTATAGTTTTGAGTTGTTACATGGATTTGTAATGGTTTTGGCAATGGTTCACGTAAATTCATTGATTCGAATAAAGTTTTATTTTTTTGATTGATGGTATTTTTATTGATATTATTGTCAATTAATTATTACTGTTATTAACTCAATAAATTTTTTTTAACTTAATGAATTTTTTAATTTTTTTTTTAACTTGATGAATAAACTTGATTTTTTTGGTAATGAGGAATCTTGATGATATTCTAGATTAACGATGATGGCATTTGGAGGGGATCATGATATCATTCATGTTGTTGGTAGTGTCAAACACTATAATTGATTGAGGGTATTTTTTGAACTAGATCATGCACACGTGTTTTGCACGTGAATCATTTTAAATTATAATTTTTGTAATTGTTTGAAATAATGATATAAATATAACAGCCTATAAATACTTATGAATCAAATAATGTAAAAAACTTGCTACAATTTGTACGATTTATACTGGAATGTTTTCTTAAAGAATATTAGTTTTTATTTCTTTTTCGATTAACTCCTACAGTTTTGTGTAATTATTTTCTTATAAAACTATCTCTTAATATTTATAAATTTTGACATGAAACTAATAATTTGCATGAATTATATTTGCAATATCATTGTAATGATACACATATATTTCATGATATGATGTTATATATATAACAACTAAACAAAATCACGAACACTTATTGAATTGAAAAAAAAAAAAAAAAATTGGGCTTTGAGTTCTAGTGTCCATATAATCATACACTAAAAAAAAGTTAAGTTGTGGAAATGAAAAAAGTAATTAAGTTAGTTGCAATAAACATACCAATTTAATCATGAACATTCGTAGTAGTCATCATCCAACAAACATTGTAGTAATCATCATCCAACAAAAATAAAAAAAAATAAAAAAAAAGTAAAAACAACCTTACTCTAGTGTTACGAATAAGAGAATGCATTGATACTAAAATGGTAAAATAGAAAAGGATGAAAAGTTGGGGTTTGATAGTATTATTGAGGATACGTCAAAATAAATTCTATAATAAATAAAGCTCAACGTGTCTTTATTCATAGTTTGATCATCAGCTAATAAAAATAAGTCTAATTCTTTTTAACAGTTAAACTTGCCCTTTAATAGTTAGATGAAAATCTTAAATATGTATATACTAATGAATTTGTATTAATATGAATTTCTTATTAATAAGGTTGGTATTGCATTTATACTTTATTTTAAGAGTAAAACCGTCCAACAAAATTTAATGTTAAACAAGTTTTATTAAAAGAGTTTTACATTAAATATGGTTAATATTGTGATTATGTTTTCTAGTAGGGATGAAATAGTCAAACAAAAGTTTTTCTTAATAGTGTATTTTTATTAGTAGTATAAATTTAACATTAATACGATGAAATAATTTTATAACCAAACAACGGATTGTACTAAATAACTATTATCTAATGTTTATGTTGCGTATGCCAAATACTAGATAAAATTACACATTATTCTAATACCTTATTAAATCTTGTATTTTATTCATTTGTATTGTATTAGTCTGTATTATTTTATCTAATCCATCCATTTCTAATACGACAACCAAAAGAGCCCTAAAAATATCATAATGTGCTCATCCTAACAATGTCAGCATTGCTCTTCTAATAGGGAAATGCTATTTGGACTTTAATTGGAAACCTTATTTAAGGACTTAATGATGTGACTTCAATGCAACTATTAGATTAATTGTGAGTTCCAATGTTAGATGGAGCCCACAACAATCCAATGCTTGTACATAAGTTCCTAAATAAGATCACCAAATAAAGTCCCTATAACATTGCTCTTTCTGAAAAAACGAGTGAAGAATCTAAATTTTTATAATTAATGACCATAAATTCATTAAATTAAAGTTTGCAATTAACATTTAATTTTGGTAACTGGTAAGGAACTGAATATTTGTATTTGAAAAAGGCTACAATACTGTCTGTGGTCGTATCAAAAATTGTAATTTTTGAACACTAAGTTATAACATTTTTAAGGTTTAAATTACAATTTTTAAATGCATGATCGACCATGAAAAGTTAGGATCGATAATCGATTGTGAATTTCTGTGATCAATCGTAATCTTCTGTTGAACAGTTATAATTTTTTGTAAATGTATAATTTTACCATAAAAAATTATAATCAATGGTATAATATCAACAAAAAAAAATTATACCGTAGACTTTTCCTTCGTATTTAGGAGTACAGTAATCTTATCGACTTATCCTCCCTTTTAAAGAAAAATCAAATCGACGTCTAGGTGATTGGGTAAAGGGTTGGCCAGTGATGACAATTTAGCCACGCGTGGCTGACGAACTCTAGCAACTGCCAACGTAAGGGCTGACGTCATATGGACAACAAGACTCAAAAAAAAAAAAATCGGTAATGTGTGATTTATTTATTTTTGGGGAGTTTACTAATTTTAGGATGCACTTACCTTTTGAGTTCATTTAATTTTTTTGGATTCAATTACTAATTTTTTGAGTGAATATTATCAATTTTTGAAGTAAATTTTTTTTTTT